ATTTCCTCAGCGTGTATAACTTCTCTTTTTTCTTCAACTAGGAGATTTGAATTTGAGCTCCCATATCTATAATATAAGAACGTCCTTGTTAAGAATAGAAAATGAGAAGAGAACTACGCAAACTAAGAAATAAGACAAGGATATAAACTCGACTACTACCAAATATGATATATATAAATATTTCAGCTCAAATGATTGAGATCTCTTAATTATAACGTCAAATGTCATTCCTAATTGCAATCCAATGTCTAACTAATTAATTGCCTTCACCATCCAAGCCAAAGGTCAAATTAAAGTGATATGGTACATGGTCGGTTTGAGCACGCCATAATTCTTTATCAGGCCAAAAAAAAGTTGATGTCGGCTGAAATGTCCTGTACTTGTCTCGTGACATATTTTGATAAAATTAAATTAAATTATTGTATTTTTATTATTAAAAACTACAATAATTAAACAATAAATATATTCACTTATAAGTGTGCCCTTATAGAAAAACCGATTAAGATACGATTAAGGCAGAGAAGCCCATGCTCCCAAATGAACATATTAATCAAGGTCTGTCAACATAGTCCACTAAACATATATATTAATCTCACCTCCTCTAGGCTTTTAAAATCCTCTAGGCTTTTAAAAAATTGTTAATATAATCTACTAATTTTATTTTTAAAATTTTAATTTATTAATTTTATACAATTTAGTCCATTCCTTTACCACTATTTCATTTTACCCCTTCTAAAATTTTTTTTCTGGCTACAGCACTAGCTATAATAGTTGTAAAAATGGATCATGTCTCACTATATAGATAGAGTGTGATGTACGTTGCTTGTCTCATTAATTAACGACTTGTTGATTCAAGTGGCAGAATTAAGATTTTTTTAAATAAAATCTTAAATTTAAGTTTTATGAATATAAAGATAGATATTATGAGAGTTTTCCTTTTATAAGGTCTAATGCAATTTAAATTTGAATTAGTTAGAATCTAATGTAATTTTTGAGTATTGAGAGGTTTAGTATATATAAAAAAAAAACATAACCTCTTTGTTTTTGTCTCATTTGCCAATTTATTATAAGAAAAATGATTTATATACCTTTTGGTTTAATACATTTTTTTATATTTGTCTAGTCAATCATTAAAATAAAATATAAGTACAATTTATTTAACTAGTTTTTATATACTATATATATATATATATGTAAGTCTATATTTTTTAATTTACCTGTCATTAAATTTATTTCAAAAAATAATAATATTTTAATAAATATATTATAATATGTATTGAATTAGAATGCACATCAATCAATATCCTTATTTAACTATCTTAATTTAGAAGGAGAAATTAAGCCATAGAGGCTGATGATACATGCATGAACACTACATCAAAAGTCATGGCTGTCCGTATCTCTGCTTTTCTTTCAAACTACTCTGTCAATCACGCGTGCACATGCATTTACTTTGTCTTCTTCATTAGTCTCTCTACAATTCCTTTTTTTTTTCCTCTTTTTTATATATCCAACAATAACTCGATCCCATTTGATGATGAAAAACTCAAAAGTGTGTTAATCTTAACACTTTTTATCCCTTGGAAATATTGCTTGCTCCGTTATTGCAACCCTACACATTATGTTATATAGCACGCATCTTTACCCCAAAAAGAAGTAAAAAACAATGATTCCATCAACTTCTTTTTGACTAAAAATTAAAAGTAGTACATTGTTTCCTAAGAGAATGATTAGAGGCAACCCATATGTAATCTTAAATTTACAAAGGAGGACGAGAGATGAGGGATTGGAATGTTTAAATCCAGGACCAGCTATATATAACCTCCGATTCCATAACATGGTTGGGTTGTTGAAAGCAGCTGCATCCATTGAATATATGAAGCTGGAAACTGGCTAGCTAGCTACTGAAAATGTGCTTCTTTTTTATGAGATTTATTGCAGAGCAGTGCAAGGAGTCCCCAAAAACCTGTCTACTGGCAGCTCACTGTCACCATCACCTACCCCTTATTGTCAACAGTATCTCTACCGCCATCATCACCCTTTTCTTTTGGTTGAACTGAAGCTAAATGCCATCATCACCAATTTATGGCTGAGAACTTAGAAAGAAGTAATGTTTCTCTTTCAAGACTTGAACAAAAAGGCTTTGGGTGAAAAAATACCAAACATATATACGACATGGTGAAGATAAAAAAAAATTTGGTTTTATTTGTTAACAAGATGTGCCTCTGATGTGAAAGTTATAGAGGATTTCTTGGTGTATGTCTTACGAAATTAATTAACAAACTAGTGGGAAATCAAAATCCAAACTCTAGTTTTTTAGTTTCCTTTTTCGGGATTGCTGTTTCTTCAGTTGATGAATAAATCTTGAAGATGATTATAATGAGTTCTCATTAAGTCAGGAAAAAGGGTAAGGGGGGCAAACCAAGGGAACTGTAGGAGAAAAGAAAGTGAAATCAGAAAGAGACATAGAGGTAATTAAGGTACTTAATGAGTACAGTGAATGATACTGCTAGTATGTGCGAGGGCATTGGCTGCAGGGAAGTGAAACTGCACATCCTCCGCTAAAAACACGTTAAATAAAACCAAAACCAGAGCACTTTTTGTATTTCTCTGTCTTCTTCTCAGTACTCGCCCTTTAGACGTAGCAATCAATATAAACAGAGATTTTCTTTTTCGATATTTGGAATATTGGATAAATTTGAATCTAAAATTTCTCAAAATTAAAATTAATCTCAATTGATGGCGTATATTGTTTTAACTACAAGACCAATGTGAATCAATGCAATATTGACCTATATATCTAGTAAATATATAGAATTTAGGTTTCATTAAACCAGAGAGTTTATTTTTTTAATGTACTACCCTTTAGGATTGAGTCTGTACAAGACCCTAGTCGCCCCCTTCCTGCTCTCACCTCGATTTTTTCCTCTTTTTCTTGTCTTCCTCTTTCTCTTAGCTGCCAGTACGTCTCTCCCCCTTGGTGGTTAGGGTGGATGGATAAAGATAGAAGTTCTCTCCTTTCTTGAGGGTTTTTTCTTCTCTTGTGTGGGTTTCTCCCTTTTTTTTTTTAGGGTTTTTGTCTTGATCTTCTTAATATTTTTTATTGAGATTTGCTCTTATTGGAGGAGGATGGCAATTTGAATGCAATATCTGTTGGACTAATATCAGTTATCGTGCTTATTTCAACTGTTAAAGACATGGTTGGTAATATGTTCCTAACTAAATTTTTTTGTCCTAACCAATTTATTTTTTATCCAGATGAATTACAGTGAAATGTAACTTAACTACTAAATCTCAAATTCGAGTCTTATTGCAATTTTCATGTAAACATTAAATTATTTGATTTTGCCTTTTCATGCATTTTATGAGTGTAATACTTCTAGGGTATTATCTTATTTAGCTTGATCTTGTAACCTTTATAGTTTTTATATATCAATAAAATTATATTTCTAATGAAAAAAAATTATACTTTTAATTACACACCAAACATTATGAGAAGAAGGGTTTTTTTTTTTTTTTTTGAAAAGCCAAATAATATTTTTAATAAGAAACTGAGTACAAGAGGTATTCAAACCCATTTACACAATCGCAAAAATACAAGCCAATTCAAGTTACCCCCATCTTTCAAACCTATCCTTCTCCAATTTACTTATTCCCCCCATAGTTAATAGTAAGGCATGAAATTGGATCCTGCAACCAGTTTGAAAGATTGAAGTAACACTTAGCTTTCTTTGCCTTAATCCATACAAAAGATCTCAATTGAATAAGCTCAAATATCTTACCCCTATTTGCCTCCGAATCTTGGAGAATCTTTTGATTTCGTGCAAGCCACATGGACCAAACCCATGTGTTCCAGATGCAATCCCATCCTTCTTTGATGCTTGGATGTTTGAGAAGAAGGATTTTTTATCATGGGAAATGATATATACATCTTCCAAAATTACACACTTTATTACACATTGACGATTTTTGTTAATGTACTGTTCAAATTGACGATTTCTATTAGTGTGTTGTTAAAATTGATGATTTTCGTTATTTGTGCCATTAAAATTGGCGGTTTTTATTATTTTTTCCATGAAATGTAACTTTTGAAAAGTGTAACTTTTGGAGGGTGTAACTTTTGGATGGTATATATATCCTTATGATCAGTACTATTGTCTTTTTGTGCTTTTGTGTGCAATTTTATTCTTTTTCTTCAAAATTTCAATTTCTTTCTAAAGTAAAATGCTTGTTTTAACATAGATAGTAACATGAAACATCAAAATTGAAAGTTTAAAATCAAACCTTAAGATAAAGTGA